GACAACCATCTTTTCCCATCTTTAAGAAGGTACTGACCTGTCACTTGCAGATCTGAGCCTTTTTTGGTGGGGGCTTGGTAGCCCAGTTCTCCCAACTCCGTAAGGAGATGCTTTGTTCCTTCCAGACACAGTTCCTCATCGGCCACTGCCAGGAGGAGATCATCTACATACTGCAACAGAGTCACCTGGGGGTTAGAGGCCCAGAACATAGCCAAGTCTTGGCGGAGGGCCTCGTCAAAGATGGTGGGTGGATTTTTGAACCCTTGAGGCAGGCGGGTCCACATGAGTTGCCCTGCTAGGCCAGTCTCTGGATCTTTCCACTCGAAGGCAAAGTAATCTTGACGTTTTACAGTCAGCGGCAAACAGAAGAATGCATCTTTCAGATCCAGTACCAAATACCGGCTCCTGTCTGGAGGTAAAGAACTTAAAAGATTATAGGGGTTAGGAGTTGCGGAGTGGAGGTCGGCCACCTGCTTATTTAACTCTCAGAGGTCTTGGGCCGGTTGGTAGTCATTAGTCCCACGTTTTCAGACTGGTAGCAACAGCGTGTTCCAGGCTGATTGGCACTTTTGTAGGATCCCCAGCTGGAGCAAACGGGCTATGTGGGGTCGGATGCCTTCGCGTGCCTCTCGGGACATTGGGTATTGTCGGACAGCTATAGGACTGGCCTGAGCCTTCAGCTCTACGTGGACGGGGGGCCGGTTTTTAGCCTTCCCTATCCCTGCAGTTTCTGCCCATGCCTGGGGGTAGTTTTCTAACCACCAGTCCATCTGTCTGGTCTCCCACCCTTGTTTTTCAAACAATTGGTATTCATCTTCCAACCTGAGAGTTAGTACCTGGAGAGGCTTTCCTTGTCGATTTAGCACCAGAGGTCCCTCGGGGTCAAAATGAATTTGAGCACCCATTTTGGTGAGGAGGTCTCTTCCTAGTAGTGGGTAGGGGCACTCAGGAATGACAATGAACGAGCGGGATAGCCGGCCCACGCCTAGGTCCACCGTTCTTCAGGTAGTCCATGAGTACTGCCTGTACCCTGTAGCCCCTTGTACCCATGACTTCTTTTTGAGAAGGGGTCCATTTGCTTGTTGTAACACTGAATTTTCAGCTCCAGTATCTACCATGAACTGAGTATGCTTCCCCTCCATTTTTAGGATCGGGGAGAGGGTCCAAACCCCATCCCCTCTAATTACTGTCTTCCTGCAGGGCCAAGACTTTGGGGGCCTGAGGCTTTTTCTTTTTCTTGGGGAATTCTTGAACCCCAGTAACCTTTCTCCTTACAGTACGGACATTGATCCTTTGCCAGGGGTCCTTTCCTGTTGCCTGGTACTGTCTTATTGGGCTCCCTAGTTTCCCTGACTACAGTGGCCAGAATTTTGTGAAAATTTCTTTCTTGGCGCTTTTCTCTCTTTATTTCTTTAGCTTCCTGCTCTTTCTGCTTTCTTTCTTCCTTTTCTTCCTCTGACTCTCTACTATGATAAACCTTTTCAGCCACCTGCACTAATTCCCTCAATGACTTATCTTGTAACCATTCAAGCTTCTGCAGTTTCTTCCTGATGTCTCTACTAGACTGGTCAATAAAAGCAACTGTCACTGTAGCTTTGTGCTCTTCACTACTAGGATCATATGGGGTAAACTGATGGAACGCCTCCATGAGTCCCTCCAGAAATGCTGATGGAGACTCACTGGGCCCCTGGATTACCTCTCTTACCTCAGTCAAATTGGTGGGGCATTTTGCTGCCCCTCGGAGACCTGCCATTAGAGCCTGGCAATAGACCTTCAGGTGCTCCCTACTTTCTGCCAAGTTGAAATCCCAGTTTGGTCTGGTTAACTGGAATCCTGCATCTATATTATCAGGGAGGAGGGTAGGTCACCCATCGTCTCCTGGAATGTTCTTTCGAGCCTCCAGGAGGATTCGTTGTTTCTCCTCGGTGGTGAACAGGACCTGGAGGAGCTGCTGGCAGTCATCCCAGGTGGGCTGATGAGTAAATAGAAGGGATTCTACAAGGTTAGTGAGACCCTGGGATTTTTCAGAGAAAGGGGGATTCTGAGATTTCCAATTGTAAAGATCGGAAGAAGAGAAAGGCCAGTACTGTAAGGTCTGGTTGCCCTCTTCATCAGGAGAGCCATAAGCCCGCAGGGGGAATATAGGAATTGCCTCTGGAGAGGCCACTCGTTTACTGCGTGTCCCTTGAGCAGGCCCTCTCTCAGGTTCTTGTGGGTCCTCTGGTGGAACTGATGGGTGGACTGCCTGTGATTGGAGAGAAGGGGGATAGGGAGGGCGAGGAAGATCAGAAATAAGCCAGTCTGTGTCAGTGGATGGCAGGACCTCCGGTTTCTTTTCCATTCCTCGAAGAGCAAATACAGCTGATGGACCTGTTAGGGGAACAAAGGGATGGACCCACAGAAGAGGATCCATGACTCGATCTTCCCTGACAATGATATAAGGTATCTGGTCTGGGTGACTTTCAGAACTGAAAATCTTTCTTTTTACCACTGTGATCAATGGCGGAGAGAAGGAACCTTCAGCAGGCCACCCGAGTTGGAAAGTCAGCCACTCTGAATAACAAAGTGCCCACTTTGTCCTTCTAACCTGCACATACAGATTATTAGCTCTGTCCTTCACGTCAGTCCAGTATTTCAGAGTCAGACTT